GCACTTTCGGTACCAAAGACTTGTTTTGTTTTAGTAGCTTTCGCCAGCTAACATATAGTTTTAGGCCCTTCGACGGACCATCGAATGAAATTCTTGAGAAGTAGCAATTTCACAACATTAGGGAACTGATTAAGAACATGTTGACAGATCAATACTATATAAATCTGCAATGCTCTGCATGGAGTTATCTGTGGCAAATCTTGAGATGGAGATTGCCACCTTCAATTGAACCGGTATAGACGAGCGCATGTTGGTATCTTGTCTCTGCAATGAAGGCGCAAGAGTGAAACACAAGAATTCAAAAGTGGAAACATCCATTCGCATGCGATTTCTGAACTCCCTCGCATTGAACGATCTCAGTAAGTTTTGATAAAAAAACCCGGGTTCCTCCAGCTCCATATCATGGGCCCATACATGTTGAGATCTTGTGACTCTTCGTGGCACGAATCTTTGCACTATAATCGATATGCAATAGGTTTGTTGCCAATTTCACATCAAAATGATACTTTGATCTCTATCAAGACAATTCATCGTGCAAAATAGTATGAATTGCAATAAAAGAAGAAAAATGAGACTTTGTACGTCATTGTCAATTGTGCTTATCTATGGAAAGAAAGTGAAGATTGAATGCAAGATGGATGTAGATTTAGGATGCAAGAATCTACTGTATAAGTGAAAGAAAACGAGCACTGAAGTTTAGGGATTCAGAGTGAGAGGAAAAAAAGGAATTTTTTTTGAAGTGATAGTATTCTCTTCTTCTCGATAGATGTCTTTTAGACTTCTCTTTTCAATCCTGCCACTGTCGGCCGTGTGATAATCATTAGTGGATAATGTCCAGGTGGACGAAAGAGTCCTACAAAGATTACTTCATTCACTAGCAATGAGCTAATTGTCGACTGCCGGTCGTGTGGTATGGCCCTAAGTCTTGTGGCTTTAGCTTGAAATTTTGTTTTTCGAATCTGGATATCATTGCAAAAATCTGCATATCAGTGTATTTCTATCCTTTGAACAAGAACATGTATTTCGGCTTTTTAGAGTATGATTCATAGTTGGTCCAATGGTTAGCACTTTAGATATCATAATGGTCTGATGAGATTAGAGAGAGAACTGATGCTCTGATTTCAGTGTTCTAGAATCTTGTGGATTTAGTTAATTTTGATTACATCAACGAAAACAACTATTCTAAAGTGTTTAACGAGTTCAAAATAATGATACCTCATGACTAATACTAGAAGATCTTGGTCCACTGGTGGCTAAAGTGGACGATTGTCTCATTTTTTCTTAGTGGAAACTTTGATTGGATGCGACCAGGTACATTCAATATATACAACATTGTAATGGTTGAGGTATTATTCGAGCTTTTCATCACGATCAGGTTTCCGCAAACGCAGCTAATCCTCGTACCTCTTCTCATTTGATGTGAAGCATAGCAGTTTTTATAGTAACTGATTGTGAACCGCGAAGACGAAAGTTGATCTCGGCAATGCAAGCACCACATGACAACTCCGTCGTCAGATTGTCTGTCTGGCTTTCACGATACCGGTCCTCGATTGCACTTTCCCTTCACTCCCACAGGAATCTTTGCATGATATTTCCAGATGGCTTCCAAATAGCTTCGGATCTGCACGGTCGAAACGTGACACGTGTGCAAGCCGATTTCACATTGAAGGCACGCAGCGTCCACAAGCCAAATGTAGATTCAGATTCAGTAACAAGTTCACAAGAGAGAAGATGCCTCGCTAGAGTAGCCAGTGGTGCAGAATCCTGCAGTGAGAGTGTTCTTTTCGCCCTATGGCATGTCGAAGAAAAATGGTCCAAATGCAGATTTAGACTCAATAACGAGCTCACCGAGAAAAAGATGCCCCGCTAGATTAGCCAGTGGTGCAGAATCCTGCAGTGAGAGGGTTCCTTTCGCCCTATGGCATGTCGGAGAAAAATTGTCCACTGCTTCGAACTTTGTCCTCCCGAACAGATCTCGACAAAGGAAACCAATCATGCCGAGCACAAGAGAATACAATATCCAACTCCGAACAAGGCTCCACCTACTCGGTTGGCCATCATTCCTTCCGGTGGCGATCATAACCACGGTCAACTCTCCGGTCACGTATTGCGGTAGCGCCGTGTTCTTTTCGCCCGTAGGCTCTCGCTGCTCCCATGATACCAACGGTCCTCAGTCCTGAGGACGAAAATAGTCCGAAAGTATTTAAAAGTGGAGCGTCCACGACCATAGGTCTAGGATGCGACGGGATAGCTATATTCTCGTGGTTTGTGTCACCGGCCATTACTGGCGATCTCGGCGACTGCGACTGCGACTGCCCGCCGCTCTCCCCCTACGCAATCGAGGCTAGGAGCTCCTTCTTCAATGCGAGCTCATCCGAAGGGCAACAACGGGGAAGCAGCGGTCGGGCTCCATGAGCGCGACGTCAGGTCTACGCACCAGGTTGCCATACTTGGTCACACCAATTCCTGAAGCGACAACGTTGAACTCGTTCCTTCGGTCATCGAATGGTCTCGTTTTCGTGATGCCATCTGGGTGGACCCCGTCCCATGGTGCATGTGGTCGGTCAAACTGCGTAATTTTCCTGGTTCACGGTGACATTAGGAAGAACGACCACCTGCTACCGGCGGCTCGGTGGCTGACACTTCGCTTTCCGAGGTAGTCAAACCCTCGGCGCACCGGACGAGTTTCGGCATTTTTGGAAGGATTTGTTGTTATTTGCTGTTATTATAAGGAGGTTCCGCATCCTAGTAAAAAATTTCTTTTGACGGAGTTAAAGGACGCGGAGACGACTGGAAGGAGGAAAGTTGTGAGACGTCGAAGAGAATTTCGGTGAGAGAACCTGGAAATGAAAATGTTCAAGTTCGGAGTTCTATTGTCCATCGAGGTGGGAAGGACAATTTTAAGATTTTTGCTATATCTACAAACTATAAGATATATAAATGAGCGGGTAGGTCTAAATAGTGCATTCAGAACACCTTCCAGTCTGGAAGCTCCTCCAATACTACGGGGAAACAAAATATGCATGAATGTTTAAGATCAATGTGTTAGTTGATGCATCATCCATCTCGTATCCGCGTGGACAACGTGCATGTACCGTGAAAGAGCATCTTGAAAAACAAAAGGAAGCACTGGTAAAAAAATTCATAAGATTTTCTGAAACATTTGTAGTATATTGAATGTTAAAATTTGATATCACAAATAATACACGAAATATAGAAGATACTTTGATATTTGTAATCTTTACATCAACAATGTTCTATGAAAACCACTGATCAGTTGGTCTGAAATTCGGCATAAGGCTAGTACACAAACATATATGTTATAAAACATGCACTTTTATAAATTTTTGCATAAGAACGAAATACACTTGTGTTGCAAATGAAGAATTGAGTGAAATAATTCCAGTTCTTAAGTAGGATAAAAGGAAAAATGTATAGCTCATGTTCTTGACGTATATGCTAAGTAATCTTTACATCTAGTTAATAAGATTAAGTTGTGTGCTATCCTTTAGAAAAAGCAGTACTACAATCCATGTTGTCCAGGCTGTCCGTATACAGCTCACCAACAACCCTTGCTGAAATAAACAAACACGAAACCTATCGAGAGAGTATTTACACAGAATTTGTGGCAGGTATGATGGCAGAAATTAGCCTAAATTTTAACCAGATATATTTATCATAATCAACCTGGTACCCATGTCGTAAACAAAATAAAGTACCCATATAAAAAGTTGTGGGGTGTGTACAAAGTATTGTGATCTCCAACCTGCAGGGATCTGTTAGACGAATGGCTACGAGAAACTATTGAAAGCGACATGAAGTTAATCCATATTCACGTGTTCCCTCCGCTCTTCCAGAAAACTTCAAGTTGCCTCAAGATCACGTACATCGGGGATTTTGTGTGGAACTCAAATGAGTTGACACAAAAGAATAAATTCCATGGACCATTGTAGAACAGAAAACGAGACTCTTTCACTCTGTAATTATGAAAGGATGGCAGGTCTAACGAGGAAGAACAGAAGGCGAACGACGCAAGAAGCAAAATAATTAGACCCAAAGGAAACATCTTTAGAGCAGAGCGTAATCATTTATGAGGTATTACAATTACTGCACTTCTGATATCTGATATCTGAACTAAACACCAGAAAAAGGGAATGAATAAGAAGCACTCATACTACGAATTGCCAACAGAGTTAACTTAGTTAGTTCTAGGATTACGGAAGTACATCAGTTCAATATGCTTGTTTACAAGGTTTTAGACATTTGACGTTACAGACCACGTTTTCCACGTCTACAAAAAAGATGATTCAAATTAGCCGCTCAATATCGGACAGAATTGTGTTAATTGTCATCAAATAATGGAAACATGGACAAACTTATATTTTAGAAAACCCCCGCGTGAAGAAAATGTAAACTAGAATGGTGCGTCGAAAAAAATATTTTCGATAATGAAAAAGGTATCCGATAAACTCTACACACGTGAACTAGTGTTCTATGCCGGACTACCGATTTTCGGTGTTGGGAAGTTTAGAAAAGCCTTAATCTAAATCCTTTCGATGTTTTTGAAGAGCGATGTATGATGTATTCTGATGGTGCGTACACTTGCCGTCAAGGGAAATTGGACTTACTGGGTTTTGGCTTCAGACCTCAAAAGGACATCGGTATTCAGGTCTTAGATATTCGATTAAGGTTGGCCCAAGATGAAGAAAAGCTACTTGGCTCTTCGCAACGTTTACTCTCAGCTTTGGGTGGAACTTCATAAAAGGGACTGAAGTTTCCTTATCCTTCATTATCCTCTAGACGGCGTCATAGGCTTGGGAAACCCTTTTGACGAAGTTTCATGCTTCCAGAAAGATGAGCATTTTTGCGAGACCGAGGAATAATATCTGCGGAAAGTGAACCCGTGTTCTTTAGGGAGTCTGTGGATGGATGCCAGAGGGAGAGGGAGATTTTCTTGCGACCGGCCGATGGACGCGATCCACGTAGAGTTCCAAAGACTGCCTATCCTAATTTAAAAGCTGTAAAATCGGTGGAGGAATGGAGGACGAAGTCTCCGTGATGGAAGAAAAATTAACAAACATGGCGTGAACAAGATCCTTTCTCTTGGAAGGGTGGAAGTGGCGATGGGGTTGAACTTCTTAGCTGGTGGGAAAAGCTGTGGAATGCCATAGGTGCTCGTGATGCGATATCCATCTTCACTTGTCTTCCATGAGAGGAGATTGTGGAAGGAAGAGGCGCTGAGAAGAGTGGCTAGCGGAGAAAGTAGGTCCAATTGTTGCTCGCATCGAGAGCTTCTGAGCATTTAATGATTGCCTCATTCATTCCTTCGATTGGATCGAGGAAGAAATCATTTGTCGCTTTGGGTGATCACTATCTGCCGCAGGTAGGGTCCACCAATGGAGCGAGCCTTACAAATCGCCTTAATCACGGAGAGGTCTGCTGCCTTCGGATCTGGGGACAGACGCCGAGCTTCTTCTTCTGCTTCTTCTTCTTGGATGTTCCTCTCCTCTAGTTTCTCCATTCCCTCTGCGTCTTACATTTCCTGTCTTTTCCATCAGTATCCGTCTCTCTTTTCCTCTCGTGAGGCCATGAGTGCCGAGTTCACTGCTGCTGCCCCAGCCAAAGCCTTCTGGACCTCCCCCTGCTGCTAAACCGGACTGTTGAGCCATTGGCTTTCAGAAGATTTTTCCTCTGCTGCCTTCTTGCGCACGGAGCGGAAGACGACGAGGCGAGATACGCTGGGAAGGAAAAGGGAAGCATAAAACGCCAGTGTTTCTCGTGTTAGCTCCTCGCGTACGTGCTCTCGTTAAGAAGACGGGCATCATCCGCTCCGACTGGAGTGTGCGTCGTGAAGGACAAACTTCTGAATGCGAAGAAAGTGAAGCTGAGGTCGGAGCTGTTCATCATTCGCCGGTGACGAAGCTTTTGCCTTCCTACACCAACCGCTGCAGAGGTAACAAAAATGACTTCAATTCCTTCCTGTTCCTGAGGCAATTGTGCACGATTCACGTGTGTGCAAGACAATATCTATGTCGAATAATATCTTTTAGTAGCATGCTAGTTACACCGTGTACATTCCAAGATTTTTTATCAAGCATACAAATGTTTTGGTAGCATATTTAGTGATGGACAGGTGTTGTGTAGGATCTGAAGTTTGGCACACAATAGCGCCAACTCATTAAAAATTAGAACAAGCTCTTCCTGGTCTATTGCAACACAATACAAACTCTTTGGTGATAATACTAGAGAAATCCAACTCTATTACGCTCACACGAAAATTACTACCAGCTACAAATGATGTATACTAACCCCTCAACCCTAATGCCTAGCAGAAGGCACATCTGAATTTCAAGCTCCATCTCCCCATCATAAATCAACAGGAGCATACATATATCTATAGCAGCAGATCACAGACCAGAATTATGCGGATACATCCGCTCTGATTTACTCCGTTAATCCTCCATTGAATTCATGGTAGAAATATCACGAACCTGTACACTGCCTATCTGACTACCGCTAAGCCGAACATGTAACTGATTGGGAAGCTCCTATCACCAAGAAAAAATAGATGCGAACTGGAAATTGAAGTCCTCAGCTTGTACTCCAGACTTAAACTTTCCTGTTCGTATATCAGTAGAAGCTTCTACCGTACATCAGTCTTCGTTCACAACATCCTTAAAGGTACGGTTCAGATTAACAAGGGCGGTCTCAGTGACATCTGGTTCTCTTTCTACCGAAACCACATCGTTTTGCTCAGTCTGATGCATTGATTGTTCAGTCGGCGTGGCATTTTCAGCTGGTACTTCGACTACAGCCTCTCCATTTTGAGACGGTAGGAGTGAGTTCAGAGGATCAGATCGAGATCCATAGCCGCTTTCGTACGTGCTCGTGTCAAGAAGACGGGCATCATCAGCTCTGACTGTCGTCGTGAAGGACGAAGTTCTGAATGCGAAGAAAGTGAAGCTGAGGTCGGAGCTGCAGGATCCAGGCACCGTCACAAGCAAAGGAACTACGATGGATCCTTCTAGGGAATTCATGAGGGATGTGAAGCGCGTCGTTGTGAAGGTCAGATATCTTGAAGTCAACTCTCTATGCTATGGGGCGTAAATTTTTTGTGAGAAGTTTCGCGTCCATATTGTCTGAAATTATCCTGGTTTCACGAAGGAGTTGTGTGCTCGAGCTCTTTTGGAGAACTGTACCGCATTGCTTGGCAAAGTACATAGTTCTGGCCGACCTGCGTTTGGCCATTGAGGATCTCATAGAAGGAGCCTTTTCGCTTCTCATGAAAATTACAGATTGTACCCAATGTAACCAACAATATACCGGGGCTTAGAGCACGTGAAGGCATATATCTTTCGAGCTTGCATATAGTGTATACTAGATGAAGACATGATCGTGGAACTTCAAGATTACCATCCCCCGTTTGGATGCCACCAGTCCGTGCATTGTGGCCAGTAGCATGGTTTCAAATGCAACCTGTGATCGAAAGTCATTAGCCCTACATAATATGATCTCCACGCGTCTGTAGGCCTTAATTTTGCGTATCTTTTTCTGCAACCTCTGGAAATTTTTCAGCTGCCTTCTTGTTCTAATCGAGATTGTAAAGGTTTATTGTCATCAGTTTTTTTTGTTTCCCAGTTGTTCTGCTCTCATGTATTCTCTCCTTTGTTATCAGGTCGGAACGGCTGTCGTAACCAGACCCGATGGGAAGCTCGCGCTTGGGCGACTTGGTGCAGTGTGCGAGCAGGTTTGTTACCATATTTGAAACCGTTTTCATCTTGGAGATATCCACTTTTTGGCTCCCAATTTGTCCTGCCACATTTCTGGTTCTGGAAGCAGCATCTTATTTACAGGAGTATTCCAACACCTTCTTTGAAGCGATCAAGCTTTTCGTCGGTATAATTTGCACGATTTCCGCTTCAGAAAAGCTCAGTTTTGAAGTGGCGTGCTGCAGGTGAAAGAGCTTTTACAGGAAGGAATTGAAGTTATTTTTGTTACCTCTGGAGCAGTTGGTGTGGGAAGGCAAAAGCTTCGTCACCAGCGAATGATGAATAGCAGGTAATTAAAGCTTTGCAAAAGGTATTTCTTTCATATTCTCGACAGCTTAGTTGCAGAGCAGGTCAGTGACATTTGTGACAACGCGTTTTCTGTAGCCAATGCATTTTCCCGCTCATTAGAATGCTGTCCAACTTGCTTGACAGCGGCTGCTTTCAAGAAATCCAAGATTGAAGTGAGTATCGCTTGTGATCTTCAGGATAATTATTTGGAAAGCTTGATGTTGGATTATGTGTTTTTGTGTTTAAATGAGTTTTATCCGGCCACGTATAGTTTGATAACAATATCGAATTGGGAGCTTTTGTTTTTTTAATTTTGATCCTTATAGTGACGTCTTTTCAGTCCTTGCTTTGTTTAGCTACTCCAACTTTGGCGTTGGATTGCCAGCTTTGTTGATTTGCAGAGGCCACAAAGTGACTTGGATGGGAAGGCTTGCGCAGCTGTAGGGCAGAGTGGGCTCATGGCCCTCTATGATCATCTCTTCGACCTGGTAAATTCTTTTTCTCTTTACTGGATGTTTGTAGTGTTTGTCATCATCATGCCACTTCTTCTCTTCGGATTGAACCCTTTGCCTGCAGCGCCTCTGTTTGTCGGGATGATATTCATGTCTGTGTCTGGCATACTCTGTTGACCTTTCATGCCAGAATCGAACCTCTTGCGAGCCCTATCCCTGAAAATTGGAGATTTGGATCGAATGTCACAGCGAAGACCATCACGTTTCTGCAAATTTGGCAGAGGTTACGGTTTGTGCAATCAACTACTGTTGTATTGTCATGCTTACAGGACCATATGCATCAATTCCGCATCTCAATGCGGTAGAATATGATCAACTTAAGCCAGAACTGAACTGTCTCCGCATCTCTGAATGTAGATTTGCTGTTGCGAGGTTTCAGTTGGATTGAAAGATTTTAGCACAAGAAAAACGAAGCGGGTACACATAGTTGTTCTCTTTAATTACGTGACCAAACGAGCACGTAATCTAACCAACCTAAACGTCGACAATTCTTATAAATTTGCATCCTATACACGTAGGTCCTTGGAAGAAAAGGGTACTCGGTGTTGGAGGTGGGGCACTCCTTTGCTTTGGGCCTCACGGGCACCATTGTCTTGAACTGCATATAGTGAAACTTACGAGATTTATATAGCTATCACTGTACGAGATGAAAACATGGAGGATGAGACACGCTGAAAGGTTCCAAATGGCTTGACAGGGTAGACCAATTTCTGGCTTGTTTTACCTGTTAGCACCTTTCGCGGCCGAAACTTGTCCTCCAGATATCCACCCTCTCCGGCGGGCCCAATCCTCTTATATGCCAACCCTTCGAGATCGCGGTTTCCGACTTGGTTTCTTCGGCTCCGGCTGTACACTACAGGCTAAGTACCCGCAAGTTAGTTGCTCGTTAGTTGCCCGGGCGCCTTTGCCGTACGCTTTGTTCACTTTCAAAAGTACAATCCACTGGATTCGAAACATGACATGCCCTAACTCGTGATAAGGACATCTCGAGAGCGAACGAACAAGAAGCTCTTAAACATCTCTTTCTCCGCGTTTTCGTACTATAAGTTCGTCAACAAATCACGCTGTTGTTCCAGACGAACTTTGTAATGTATTCCGATTATATACTGTTGGTCACTGAGAGCTGACTTGAACTTCACATATACTTCACCGTTTGCCTTTTAAGATTGTAGATTCTTGTGTTTCGACTGTGTTGTACTCGTGTAATAATTCATGGACCGACTAAGGGTTCACTCAAGGGAACTTGTGTACTTTTGTGAGAACGACGTGCAAAGGAATTTCTACACAAGCACTTTGCATTTCGTGACGACTCATTGTGCCTTCCAGTTTTAATATAAATAGAAATGTCTGGTCAGGCTTGGATGATTAGCTATACAGGTTCCAAATCGAATGTTGTTGAGAGGAAAGGCAGAAAAAATCTTAATAAGTAATCAAGTCGATCTGCCACTGATATTGCACCCCGAATTCTTTATCCATCAAATTTTTATGAAATTAGCGATGAGAAGGAATATCCTTATCTCATTAAGGCCAATGTAGCTTTTTTTTGGTTGATGTGTGATTATTTTTTGCATTGGTCACTAACAATCGAATACACATTCTTTGCAGCTGGATGTCGCTTGTGCGCAGCTCCTTGTCACGGATAATGACTTCAAAAATCCAGCTTTCAGAGAACAGCTATTGGATACGTGTCACACCTTGATCGGTCTACGAGTGGTTCCTGTTTTCAATGAGAATGATGCTATCAGCACAAGAAAGGCTCCATACAAGGTTAGTTCTGCCTACTCATCTGTCTATTTGATCTTGTTATAATGCGGGAAAAGTACTTGTGGTATGTAGCACTTTTACGAGACATTGGTTAAAAAGGAGTATGAATCACAGCGTAGTGGTTTGGAATATTGGATCATGATTTTAAAATCACGACCTAACAATCATCCAATTTTTTCTGTAAATTTGAAGTTGATGTGTGGAGAATGTTTACCAATTATTTTGTTTACATTCATAATCTCCATAACATGAGAGATGTCTTCATTATCAAGTACCCCTCTTTTGCTTTCCTTCCCATTCCTATACCTTCGTCTCTTAATACTTTCAATCACTTAGTGGCACCTCTCAGTCAGGGCATGGATTCTGTGGTCTTCAGTTCATAACAGAACTATACTCATGATTACCGTGTGTTGACCCTTATGCAGGATTCGACTGGTATTTTCTGGGATAATGATAGCTTAGCTGCCTTGTTGGCTTTGGAACTGAAAGCAGATCTTTTGATTCTGCTTAGTGACGTGGAAGGGCTCTACACAGGTCCTCCAAGTGATCCTAAGTCAAAGTTGATACACACATATTTGAAGGAAAAGCATGATGATATGGTTACATTTGGTGAGAAATCTAGAGTTGGACGGGGAGGTATGACTGCCAAAGTATATGCAGCTTGGAACGCTGCATCTGCTGGAATCCCCGTGGTCATCACCAGGTAGACTTGGAGAATGAATTCATCTTTCTTATGGTTTGATTGAGTACACCATTTTGATTGGAATCTTCTTACTGCTCCAGCTTCCCGTAGTCCTCTTGTGTGGTTGGTTTAACGTACTCAAAACACTTTGGCGTATCATATGAATGACTCTTGTACACTGTACAAGCTTGTTCATGGTGCTCTTTTTTATGACTTTACCAGTTTAATCCACAAAATATCAAATAGATATGCATCTCCTTATACCTTTATCAACATACATATGAGCAGTCAATGACGGGACGTGTCTGTTCGGCATTATCTCAATCTACTCCGTGTTTTTGTTTTCCCTGCAGTGGGTTTGGTTCGAAGGGTTTACAGCGAGTATTGTGTGGAGAGAAAATTGGAACCCTCTTTCACAAAGATGCCAACCGGTGGGTGGCTCTCAAGGAAACTGGCGCGCGAGAGATGGCTGTTGCTGCGAGGAATGCGAGCCGTCGGCTCCAGGTACTGGGGCTTTACTCTACTGACAAGTCTCACTGGGTGACAGCACCGCAAAAGATTGTTTTAATATCGAACTAAAATTCCTATCAAATTATATCAGTGTAGTGTAATGCCCGAAGATGCTGGACAAATTAAATCTAGACTTTTAATGGTCAAGCTGTTTCATCGCTTGCTTTTCTGAGATCAATTCTGCGATGACTTTTTCAGGCATTGTCTACAGCTGAACGTCGTCAGGCTTTACTAGACGTTGCAGACGCGTTGGAGGCCAATGAGGCGCTCATCAGGGCCGAGAATGATGCTGACTTAGAAATTGCACACCAGGCGAAGACATCTCCATCACTTATCGGTCGATTGACGATTAAGCAGGGCAAGGTTTGTCCAGCAATCACTTCTCTTTGCAAGTTCCACTTTTAGCATTTTGCTACGGAAAAGGAGGTTGATCATTTCTTTTAAAATAATCTTTTCTTCAATTTGGCAGATAACAGCCCTAGCCAATTCAATCCGCGTTCTAGCGGATATGAAGGAGCCCGTCGGTAAAATTTTACAGAGAACAGAGGTGAGTGTTGCACATCAAGTTTTGAAAAGTATCTGCAATATTAACATTCAGCTTTTTTGCTTTGAAGTAAGCTACAAACTCACAGCCTGTTTCTATTTTTTCTAGGTTGCCGAAGGTTTGGTTTTGGAAAAAACGACTTGTCCTTTAGGAGTTGTACTGGTTATTTTCGAGTCCCGTCCAGATGCGCTGGTTCAGGTTTGGACCATCTTTTTGCAGATTGTAGTAATGTGCTTCATTTCTAGCTGTTGTTGTCGACTTTCATCTAATTGCCGGTCTTAAAGTAAAACCTCGGTAGCCAATTAATGAGCTCAATTCAGAAGACTTCTTTGCGAGTTCTTTCTGAGATGCATGCGAGAAGCTTGCTGTCGTGTTTTGAAAGCTGTCAGAAGGAAAGGAAGTGATGTCTAACGCTATGCTGGTTGTAGATTGCCTCTTTGGCAATTCGTAGTGGTAACGGTCTACTTTTGAAAGGAGGGAAAGAAGCCATGCGATCCAATGCTATTCTGCACAAGGTAAGTGTCCAGATCTAAACGCGTCTTCAATAATGAAATAAACTTCAGATGTATACATTCTTCTGGGGGTCTACTGCGGATTCAATTGTATTTTTTGTGAGACTACATCTCGATACCAAAACTTCTTGTACAAAGATATCAACAAATAATTGGTGAATGTGCAGGTTATTACTGATGCTCTTCCTAAGTCAGTTGGGCCGGCCTTAATCGGACTCGTAACAACCAGGGAGGAGATTCCTGATCTATTGAAGGTGAGATATTTGTCTGATATCATCAACAATATGAGTGAGTTTCCAAAGCAAGCAAAGTTGACTATGCGCACTAGTGTTTGTACGTAGTAATGCTACCGTTAATAATCGTAATTGTCCGAATAACGATCTGTTTAATTTCTATTGTACCTTAGACATGCTGACCGATTTCACATGGAATGTCTGGATTTTGCAGCTCGATGACACCATTGATCTGGTCATACCAAGAGGTAGCAATCAGTTGGTTTCTCAAATCAAGGAGTCAACGAAGATTCCCGTTCTCGGGCATGCTGGTATATTAATATCCATATTTATGGATGTGTTTTATTTCTAGCTTCTTGCTACATTATACACGTTTTTGTAGTTTCTCAGAATTGGATCTTGCGGTTGCCTGCAATCCGATGTACCGGAGACTTATGTAAATGTTTAACTTCACAATGAAAAAGATGCATGTTATGGACATCATGGTTATGTTCATGTTTCGTGTGCTTCCTAGCCATAGGAGGCCTATGGCTTCTCAAAGTAGTAATTTTAGGTAAGCGGACGTATTTCCTTGATAATTTTATACTGAAAGATGCTTTTTTTTACAGATGGAGTGTGTCATATATACGTCGACAAGGCTGCTGATGTTGATAAAGCTCAAAGGATCATCATGGACTCCAAACTTGATTATCCAGCTGCTTGCAACGCCATGGTAGACCTTTTGCTTATTCTGTTCCTACCCAATATCTTTTCTCTATTTGTTTTGTTCCTTACTTATGCTCGGACGAAAAGGATCTATATTGCTACACCTCCTTCTGTCAAAGCATCATTTGTACAGTATTTCCATTCAATATAGGGATGTTACACCACTTCCCTTGTCAATCAAGAGATGCAGGAATCAAGATATTGATTCCTGCATTCACAGCCTTTTAATGTCATTACCATATCTGTCTCTTTGAATGTTACGGACAATGACGTTAGCAATCCTTGTACTTTGTAAGTGGCGCAGAGTACGTACACGACATGGTACACTGACCTTACAATCTCTATAAGAGGAATGTCGTTTTAGAGCTTGATCTCCGTGTTTCTCTTATGTTTGGTAATGACTGTTTGTTGGTTGTGGTACTAATTTTGGTTTCAATAATTCGCCTCTCCAGGAGACATTGCTAGTCCATGAAGCTTTGGTTGAGGATGGGAGGTTGGAGAAATTAGTCTTTGCCTTACAATCTGCAGGTGCTCCATTTAAACCATGTATCTGTGAAACAGTTTCTGCACGACGCTCCTTAAGTACATCAATAAAGACATAGAGTTTCACCACTATTTGCTGTTTTAAATTTCACGAGCTTTTACTCCTCATATCCCACGATATCACGTTGATAAGTTACCTCTTGTTGTTACATTAGGGGTGTCTTTGTACGGAGGCCCGAGAGCCGTAGAAAAGTTGAGACTGCCCAAGGCTGCGAATTTTCATACGGAGTATAGCGCATTGGCTTGCACGGTGGAAATCGTGGAGGATGAAAATGCAGCTATTGACCATATTCATGAGTTTGGCAGGTACAAACCTTTCGAACAACTGTCTTTGTCAATAACATCTCTTGAATTCGGTCTATTCTGCCAGAGTTAGAGATAGTGACGTCGTCTTTTCCCTTTTTACTGTTTACTGTTCGAACCTTTCCTTTCATTACTATGAAGATGAAGTTTCTCTGTAGTGTAGTGTGTCCTGCATAGTAAGAGTGCAGGGCGGATTATGCAGTACACCTTTGTGTCCTGCAGATTTGGACGCTTTAATGCGTCTCCATCTCTGTTATCAAAGTATCTTAAATTCAGACTTACGTTTTGTTATAATTGGCAGTGCTCATACAGATTGTATTGTGACCGAGGACAATGACATTGCAGAGAAGTTTCTACAAAGTGTTGACAGGTATCTTAGAGGATCAAGCAATTATGGCTCTCTTTTTGAAATTTTTTGATCATAGTAGTGAAGCATAGGATTTGGATCTACAAAGGGCGACTTCTCCATAACAAAGTAGAACTATATCATATCGCTCTCAATGTCACCAGCTTAAAAAATAAAACTTTCTGGAATTTGTAGTTACAGTCTGCTTGAAAGAAGAGTATGTGGACTTGAATCACGTCCTGTCTTGTGTTCAGTGCTGCTATATTCAGAAATGCAAGCACGCGATTCTGCGATGGAGCCCGCTTCGGCCTGGGAGCTGAGGTACGAAATTTACCTGGAGTTTTGTAAAATAGTCTTCCCTGTATGAAAGTTGAAGACTATTAGAGCTTTCTACTGTCTTGTTTCTTTCCGAAATAGTCACGGATGCTGAAACTTGAAGTTGTAATGGCTCACAGGTTGGGATAAGCACGAGTAGGATTCATGCTCGCGGACCTGTCGGTGTGGAGGGCCTACTTACTACCCGATGGTACTGAGTTCTATTTTGAATTTTCCTGCGTCATTTATAGAATATTAAATGTACAAATCAGGCAGTTGCTCAAGTGCGTGTATGAGGTTGTGTGAAGTTTTAGATGGTCCTCTTAGAATCATTTGAAAGTGTACGAAGCCAACATTTTTCGCTTTTAAACTTTGTATCTCTCTTGGTTTGCAGGTTACTGAGGGGGGATGGCCACCTTGTTTCCGGAGACAGGGGTGTCGTTTATACCCACAGAAATCTTTCAAATGAAGAGAGCTTTAAATCCTTGGCAAATGGGGATGCATCATGCAATGGAAGCGCTCATTAGTTGAAGACACGTGCACTAAAGTAGAGTTTTTCGGTCTGATAGGTAGAGTTTTGTCCAAGGATATCTGTTTCAGCGAGATCCCTTTGGTAGCGACATTTTCTTAGGCAGCATGAGCTCGAAACCGAGCATGAGGGAGGAATTTTTGCTAGAGACCCAGCAGAGTACGATCAACGCCACAATACTCGTAGAGTGCCCTCAGATTGTTTACAACTGGAGTCGCTCCAGACATGCAAGGGATAATACCGATCAGCACACGGTTTGCAGTGTAGATTCGTAGTACCATGTGCCAGTGTACCATTTATATGTTAACGCCACTTTTCAGCAAGCGCTGAATAAATAACGAAGATTCTCATGAAGGAGGTCATTGAGTCCTCTCTAGCCGAGCAGGTATCTCTAGGAGTGGGAACCCTCCGATGTTCTAAACAAGTACTGCACCGCAGACTTGAGGTGTCGTGGAGAATGTAATAACGATCAGGTCTAGCTTTAGCTCCTGCACTGACTGTGACCTCTACATGGGAGAGGAGCAGTAGTAGAAGACGACCAGTATCCTTCATGTACAATTCATCAAAGACATTTGAGTCAACACTTACTGTAAGGATATGATATTATTCTACGGGAGGACTGTACTACGTATATATGATTGTTCAATCATGACATTGAGTATATTTGATACGGTTGCCATTCTCGTCCAATAATTGCATGGCATACAGTTGTGGTAACAGAAGGATGCAAAATAACGTTTCGACGTATAACAACGATGATTTGGCCTCACCGTCGTACAATCCTGATGACCGATGAGTGCTTCTTTATGCCAGCTATCCAAAGCACACTAAGTTTCCTCACCGGCGTGAAAACCATGAAGAATTTATTGTCGCCTTGTGATCAGGATATTTGTCCAGTACGCAAGTTGTTCTTTCCTTTGCTCCACGTCAAACAACATGTTTCTCAGGTCCTATATTATGATGAGAAATTGTCCTGAATGTGCTCAATTGCGTATGAACACAGCTTAGATTAAGCAATGCCGTGCTTTCAGCACCTGGATACATGACTAGGAACTAAATAACAGCATCCAGTCTTACTATCATCAGCAGATCCACGACTATGTGTGTTTGCTTTGCGTTATTCTGCGAACATGAGTTGAACGCATCATGCGCAGACAGTTCTCCCTAATTCCATTGTTTCCAAGTTGAAACATTCTCATACCCTTGAATTCTATATCCGTTTCATCGTTACTTCCCTTTCAGGAATCAAACCGCCGCATCAATTTGGAATACGATGTGGATTGCTGGGCCGTCTCAATCCGAAACTTCGTCCGCATAAGTTCCAAAGCAAAAGTTAATTTTTTGCTGTAGAATTAGATTTTGGAACTAAACGTGGATACGCCACCAGTTTTCGTAAGGAGGAAAAGTATCCATTTACGAAAACATCAAAATTCACCAATGATTGCTCGCTTCATCGTGAAAACTATCTACATAATTTGCAACTTTGAGTTCTCGTCGTCGCAACTCGAAATATGAGTGTCAACGGTGCCTGCTTTTTTCCCTTGCCCGGACTCGTACTTTTCAACTTAAATCATGAGCGAGATTAAATCTCCACCAAATTGATTCATCCATTTTGGTCAATTTAGCTTTATAATGTAGTACTTTATAAAGCTAAATTTAGTCCACTACTTACTGTTTACAAAATTTGCAATCAAAAATTCTAATATCGATCATGATTAAATTAATATCAATAAACATAGATAGAAATAAAAATTAAATTAAAGTTTTTCTTACAACTTGTATAATTTTAGAAATTACATAGTATTAAATGCTTCAATCTAGATAACGTATGCCAAGCTTTATCTTGCATCGTAATTGTATTCAAGAAGCACCAACAATTTAAATATCAACAAATCGGCAGAACATTTTCCATCATATCTAAATAAATGCTAAATATGATACAGTACAATCTAATTGTAATCCATAGCATATTTATTGGTGAAAAACAACAGAATTAAAAATTTAAAAGAAATATTTATACATAAATGATTTATTTCTACTTGAGCATTCTTTTATCAACTTTCATAAAAATGAATTTAAACTAAAGTTTCTATCATGTCTTTAATATTTTTTGTTTCAAATATAATATAGTAATATTTTAATAGGAAAATATATATTTGGTACTTTGATAAAAATAAGCACCAAATAAGCTAATTTATATATAAATTTAGTACAATTTGAATATTTTCGCTTAAATTTTACTCTCTTAGAATCAAATTTTTCGTAGCGTATCATCAAGAATTCAAAAGAAACAAGCCTTTTTTCTTATATCTATTTTTTACAATCAGAGATCAAAATATACACAAAAATAAGTGTACATCAAATGAAATAATTTGAAAAGAAAGAATTATTTATTTAAAGCAATGATCCATGTAAGATTTAATGTCATTGAAAAATACGATTTTTAGGCCTAAATATTACATAATTTTTAAAGTAAAAAATTAAACATTACACTTTTGAGCTGTTTTGTTGGTAAAAATTCTATTTTTTGTATGAAAAATTAGTTGAAAAATCAAAAAATAGTACAAGAATATAAAATTTTTGATATGGATAAAAATAGTAATTTATAAAAAAAATTGTAATACCTTGCACAAAACTTGTATTTGAAAAAGTTAGATTTAATGTTTTATATTTGAGAATATCAATTTTGTTGAATTTTGAAAAAAATTATTCTTTAAAAATTAAAATTTTCTACTTTTGAAATTATTTGTTTGGTTTTATATTGTTTAAAATGTCTAGTGAATCGGAATAGATATAATATTTTTAAGGGCTATTGTTCTTAAACTTTATCAATTTCTATTATACTAAATATATGCAATTTATTTGATATTTAAATTTGAATTTTATTTTATTAAAATGTTCAAAACCTTTCACATTACCTTAAATATCATGATGATTGGATGTAAGTTTAGTTTAATACTTTTGTTTCATAATAATTTTTTTAAATATTATTTTTAGAAAAATATGGGGGTAAATTGTTAAAAAATATTTTTTCAAATTTTTAAATAAAAATTTATGATTTAATTAAATATTTCCCTTTGAGAATATTTTAAAATTGAATATTTAAGTAATTTTATGGTTCAAAATAATAATAATAATTTTTAATATTTAGTTCTGATTTTTTTTAATAATTAAATAAAAGAATGATTCGAAAATATTTACATTTTCCAAGCTACTTATTAAATATAAAGAGTTTGGTTTTATCAAATTTAATGCAAATTTAAATTTTTATGAGTGTAAACTAGTCTATTATCAATTTTCTCAATTCGCGCTATATTTCTTGCTGTCTTACGTTCTTGAAGTCCAGATTTATATAGACCCGCTCTAAATTTTCTTAGTAAATATATAATCCAAAAGATGATTATCTTTTGATCAAAGTAAAAGATTTCATCACACGGGTTTGTGTGTGTGGTTGTATGTAAATATATAAATTTATTTATATATTCATTTTACCTGTGACATTAAGATAACAGATCAACTAAGGTTTGTTTAGTTTAATATTCAACTTGAATTTTACATTCTGAATTTTTGTAATCTTAGTCTGGAGCACTATTCAGAATGTTCTTGAAAATCTACACAAAGTGCACAATTGGAAGTAAATTACATACAAAAATTGTAATTGAATTTTTGCATTCTTCGTATCCCGTAAGTCTCCTGCATGAAATTATTACACATGACATTACGTGATGTCAACAAGCTGTAGAAGACATGTGAAACAAATGGATCTAATTAATCATTTTGAGTTTCTTACTCAGCTTATATTTGTATGTGTCTCCAGGATATCCAAACTTGTAGCATATACTGTATATGATATGGGGATGCTGGATATGATATACAACATCCCCGTAGTTGCTACAGCTGCAATCTGCAAAATGGATAGGACAAAAACATTGGCCAAACAAAAAATATTGTATATGCATGCACATGGATTACAAAAATCAACACAGGTATGTCACTTCGGATGCACGGAGCCTAAAATCTGCAGCACACGTATGATTCTCCATCGTTGTGCATGCATGTATCATAAAGACGGAAGAGCTACGCATTTATAGTATTCATTATTCTAAAAATTGAGGTATCAAATGTAAGTACCTGTGATGGTGTATGTCATATATGTTCATTGAGTAACAGTGAATTACAATAGCTGATGTTGATTCCGTATTTTTCAATATCTTAATTGTGAGCATTGTTTGCTTTTAGATTTACAGGTCTAGCTTTCAGTTGCAAAATTCAGTGAACTCAGTGAAATTCAGTGATATAACCAAACGCTTGAAGTCTACATGAGCAGTCTGTTACTTTCCTCGAATTTCGATTTCGATACTTTTCACATTATATCTTTCCATGATATATTACATTATTCTTCCAAACGCATTAGATCCACGAATCTCATTTCCTACTTCAGGGCTGGCAATCACGGGTTCCCGCCTCTTGCATGGGACAAAATGAAGGTCAACTACCAACGGCTAAATTAGCCGGCGGGGCAACTTTCTCCTTTCTCTAATTTAGTAATGGACACTCTCTCGCTAAAGAGTGGAGGACAGCGCAGCAAGCAATCCCTGTCGAGCTTCCCGTACATGCCCTTATTGACATACATCTGGACGAAATGTATGCCTTTCCCATCGGAGGTCCTGCAGAAGTTGCGAAAATTAACAGGTTCCAATTTCCAGCTATCTACCTTGTCGTCGAATGAAATAAAGAATAATAATGCACATATGCCAATAACTACATGCAGGATGGTTACAAAAAAAGGATCTCGTTAATTCGTTTGTCTCAGCTTACTCCAGAAGATATCATCAGAAAAACAGAGCGTGAAGAAAGAAGGATATATTACGAGAGGAGCCAAAAATATTCCAGAACAAAAAGACGACCCGCACCCCGTACACAGATCCAATAATGTTCAACAGGCAGTCAATGTCGCAAACATGCGAGCTTCGCAACGGATAATCGGTGCCCCGGGACTTGTGGCCGGGTGGCGGGCTGGGACTCGGCGAGTCAGACAGTAAAACGATAAAATGCACTTAAAAAAATGGTGGCAGTCAATCAGCGAATTCCCAGGCCTCGGAGTGGCCGTCGTCACACGTCATCTACGGGCCACGACGACGACGACGACGACGACAGGGTAGAGAACAAAAGTCCTCGCGCGAAGAAATACCGTTGAGAGAAGCCAAAAGAGAAATCGAGGAGAAATCGTCGCTCCCACTGGATGGCATTGTGGAGGATAGGCCGTCGGCTGTGGGCCAGGTCCGAAAGTCCACCCCGATCGGGACGATCTGCGAGAGAGAGAGGAGTGTTTGGCGATGGACGGAGCTGGAGCTGGAGCTGGAAGAGAAGGAGGAGGAGGGAGGGGGAGAGGGACCAGAGGAGAGTGAGTGGGTGGCAGGCAATGCTCTGCTTGCCCCGTTCCGAGCCCTCGATCGTCCGACCAGCGAAGATGATGACGACCTGGGAGTCTCACTGCGACGCAGAGGGGGCGTCTGACTCTCTGGGAGTCTGTCGCCCTCTCCCCCATTCCCCCCTCCCCCTCCTCTCTCTCTCTCTCTTCCTCTCTCTGGGTGCGCTGGCTGGCTGGCTGCTGGTGCCTCTGGGTTCGTCTGACACCAGCCAGAGCCGTATGCTGTAGAATTGGGCTCGCTCGAGCCTCACCAGTTGTAGGCTGGCTGGCCTGGTTGGTTGGCTGGCCCGGAGCTCAGCAGCTCAGCTCAGATCAGCTCTGTTCTACTCTGAGCGAATCCTCGAGCCGAGCTGCCCCCTCTCGCCTCGCCGAACGTATTCCCATCTCCGGTGTTCATGGTTCTTCCTTCCACTCATTTATAATCTTTGCCTACTCCGCCCTCCTACGTACCAGCAGCGCAGCGCTGCGTTGCTGCTGCTGCTGCTTCTATTTCTGCTGCTCGAGCGAGAAGGCGCATTTCCATTCCCTCAGCCCACAGTACAGTACGCCAAAATAAAGGCATTGCCCTCTGCACAAATGCGAATGATTCATCCCCAACGTCTTTCCTATTATCGCTCGTCTCGGATGCTCTAAGGCCCCCCTTTCTCCTCCTCCATATGCGGGAGCAATAGAGAGAGAGAGAGCGAGAGCGAGAGCGAGTGACGGGATTTTCCTCATAGTTTAAGCTAGTGCTCTGGAGGAGCAGCAGTGGTGGTGGTGGTGGTGGTGGACTGTACATTGTTGCTGGGAGCTGCTGCTGCTGCTGCCTGCCTGCAGCATCGGAAGCATTGGATCACTGACACGCAGTTGAGGACGGTGGGCGAGCTCGGGCCATACTGTCTCGGTACATACAGTGTTCGGGTACTGTGTATGGCAATTTGCCAGCAGTTTGTTGGGTAGAGCAGAGCAGAGCAGAGCGGGAGCAGAGCAGAGGAGAGCAGGCCGCAGCAGGAGCAGCAGCGGCAGCAGCAGCAGATAATATACACAAGAGCGGAGTCGGACTGGACTGACCGAAAGTGGCGCACCATCGCTTCTGCTTCTGCCGCAATATATCGACCAGCGGTGTGGCGTGCCTGCATCGACTGCGCGATATTTCTCTTCACCGTCGCGCCTACTCTCCTCCCACCGCCCCTCTACAGCTCTCTCCCTCTCTCCCTCCCTCTCTCTCCCTCTCTCTCTCCCAACTTCCCTCCCCCTACTTGCTGTCTGCCATCGACAATGTGGAGAATTACAGGCCGAGGATTCTGAGCGTGAACTCTTTCGCGGGCCAGAACCGTAAGCGCGAAGCAGTGGGATGCTTTTCGTCCCACCTGTTCATGTCTGATACCTCCTTCCCTCCCTCGGGCAGCTCAAGCAAAAGAGACTCGCGAAGCACAGCAGCTCAGAAGCGGGAAGCTTCAGCTGCGGCTGTAGCTTGAGCTCTAGCTCTGGCTCTGGCTCTTTCGATCAGGATAATGTTCTCGCTGTCAGACTTCGTACCCTTGAAGCGCTCGAGTCCGGAGCAGTAATCGTGCCCGCGAGCATTTGCCTCTTCGCTCGAATCGTGTCGTGGAGGCGAGCTCGGTCGAGCGGAGGAGGAGAGAGGGCGGGAAAGGAAAGAAGGTCGGAGCGAGAGAGATTCGTGCGTGGGCTCGGGGACTACGAATGCAGAGGAGGACGGCGAGGAGGGCGGCGCAGTAGGAGTGGACTGATCGTGATCACTTCTCCCGGCGAGCAGCCAGCAGCAGCATTGGCCAGGGAGCGCAAGAAGGGAGTGCTCGAGCTCGAGCTGGAGCATGAGCATGGGACTCTCTCGGGCTCTCGATGAGTCGCAGCGACGAGGCTCTTCTGTGCGGAGACGAGAGTGAGGGAGAGGGAGAGGGAGAGGGAGCGAAGGCAGATGTTTGAATGGCTCTGAGAATGGCTCGGCGGCGCGAAGGAGAGATGACGCAGATGTGTTCAGCCGGGGGGAGGGGCGTGGGATGCCGTGGGCTCGGACAAGGCAGCTCAATGTGCTGCTGCTGCTGGAACCTCGCGGTCGGGGTCTTCTTGCTGCTGCTGCTGCTGGCGAGCGGGGCCGCGGGCTCGGGGATGCGGAGCGGCAATGCGCCTCGAATCAGCGACGAAGTGATGGCGTTGTTGGTGTTCAAGGCCGGGGTCATCGACCCGAACTCGGTCCTGAGCTCGTGGAATGACATCGACATGGATCCGTGTCACTGGACGGGCATTACCTGCAGCTCGGCCACGGGAAGAGTGACGGACATCACGCTCGTGGGGCTATCGCTCTCGGGGACCATCGCCCGAGCGCTCGTGAAGCTCGAAGAGCTGCAGACGCTCACTCTGGCCAACAACAACTTCACTGGCCCATTGAATGGCGAGCTGGCCGAATTCTCGGACTTGAAGGTGCTGAATGTGAGCCACAACGCGCTCTCGGGCAGCATTCCGGCCTCGTTCGGAAGCGCCGGCAATCTCTACGCCCTCGACCTCTCCAACAACGCCTTCACTGGAACTCTGCCGCCGGAGCTCTTCTCTTACAACTGCCAGAGCTTGCGCATCGTGTCCGTCTCGGTGAACTCTTTGGAGGGCCCCATTCCCGCCTCCATCGGCTCGTGCTTCGAAGTTCAGAGTCTCAACTTCTCCTACAACTCGCTGTCGGGAAAAATTCCCGACGGCATTTGGGCTCTCGAGAGTCTCCTGGACATCGATCTCTCGTTCAACTTACTGACGGGGCAAATTCCAGTGGGAGTCGGGTTCCTGAAAAATCTCACCAGTCTCCGCCTCCAGAGCAACAACCTGTCCGGTGGGGTCCCGGCTGAGCTCGGGAACTGTGGCCTTCTGGAGCACTTGGTTCTCAACAACAACTCCTTGATCGGCGAGCTGCCCATTCAGCTGGGCAACTTGAAGTCTTTGGTCACTTTCAATGTCCGCGACAACTTCCTGTCAGGCAGCGTGCCGAGCTGGGTGGTGAACATGACGTTCATCAGGGAGCTGAATTTGGCCAGTAATGGATTCAGTGGGCAGATTCCTTCTTTCATCGGTTTTCTGTACCAGCTATCATCGATCGACCTGAGCGCCAACAATTTCTCTGGCCCTGTGCCGCATGAGATGATGACCCTACAAAACTTACAGTACGTTTCCTTATCGGATAACTCTCTCACCGGAGTCATTCCTCCCTTCCTCAGTGGATGCGGATCACTCCTGTCTATTGACCTGTCCAGGAACTTGTTCGACGGCTCGTTTCCGGCCCAGATCATGTCTTGTTCCAACTTGCAGCATATCAATCTCGCGGAAAACATGTTGTCGTCCTCTGTTCCCGAGGAAATTGGATTTATGCCCGGCCTGCAGCTTCTGGACGTGAGTTCGAACCAGCTTCTGGGGCCTATTCCCAGTACCTTGGGCAATGCCACTCAGATCCGTGTCCTTCGCCTACAGAGGAATAACTTCAGTGGCCCCATTCCTGCCGAGCTTGGAAACTCCACGCTTCTAATCGAATTGTAAGTTGGACTATCTGACTTTTGCCCACTACATATATCGGCCATTACCAGCTGCTAACCATGACTGTTTCCCAAGTTGTTAAATTCCAGTAGGCACTTCTTGCTATCAGTATTCATGTCTCTGACCTCATTCTAGTGATTCCGATGCACTGCTGTATGACGTCGTCCGTCATGAGGAAGATTTTATATAACCCGGTGTCGTTGGCCTGATACCCTTAGTCGAAGTGTAAGTGTTGCTACATTCATCTGACAGGTCTCCAGTAGGGGGGCTGTGGGTGCCCATCTCACATCTTTACGTTTTATCATCCCCTGAATGAATGTCGCATGTGTCTGTCTGCATTAGAGCTGATACAAAATGACGGCTCGTCTTTGCTTTCTTAAGCTGATCTCGGGATGATTACACATGTCCTTCCCACCCTATTCTCTCAAGGGCGTCGCATGAGAAGGGAATTCGGGCAGCTTCGAAGTATCAGGATACCAAGTTCAGGTTTTAGAGTAGTTTCCCAGTGGCCTAGTTCCGGTTCGAGTTACTTTTCATTTGCTATGACTGCAGTTGGCACGTTTGGATTGAAGCATTAACCGATTCTTCCATGCAGAAATTTGTCGGAGAACAACTTGAGTGGACCGATTCCGCTGGAACTAGGCAAACTCGCAGATCTCGAGATGCTCGACTTGTCCCACAACTCATTCTCAGGCGTTATACCGGAGGGCTTGGGACTGCTCACAAAACTGGTCGTCATAGATGTGTCACACAATCAGCTGCAGGGCCCTATTCCAACGGATGGCATATTCAGTCAGATGAACACTACTGCATTTGAGCAAAACGCGGGATTGTGCGGAACAGCTGTGAATATCTCTTGTACCACTTTCCCCAACCCATTGATCATAGACCCGAATGACCCCAACGCCATACCAGGCACTCTTTCTCCTCTGTTTAGAAGCAAGCGCAGCCAAACTATACTCAGTGTGTCTGCAATCACTGCCATATCTGCGGCAGCTGCCATAGCTTTAGGGGTGATCATGGTGACACTTTTGAATATGTATGCTCAAACAAGGCGTAGGTCCAACATCTTCACAATCGACAGCGATCCTCAATCTCCATCTGCTGCCGAGATGGCCATGGGAAAACTGGTCATGTTCACCAGGCGTTCTGACCCCAAGTCGGATGATTGGATGGCGAGCGCTCATGCAATTCTGAACAAGGATTGTGAAATCGGACGAGGAGGGTTTGGCACAGTGTTCAAGGCCATATTAGCACACGGAGAGACTGTGGCAGTGAAGAAGCTAATGGTCCAAAGTCTGGTGAAGTCCCAGGGAGAATTTGAAAAGGTAGTGCATATGCTTGGAAACGTGAAGCATCCCAATCTAGTGGGCTTGCAGGGCTACTACTGGACCGATCAGCTGCAGCTTTTGGTCTATGACTATGTCCCAAATGGAAACCTGTACTCTCAGCTGCATGAGAGAAGAGAAGACGAGCCTCCTCTAAGCTGGCGACTTAGATTCAGAATTGCCTTGGGTACTGCCTTGGGTCTTGCTCATCTCCACCATGGATGTGTACCGTCGCTGATACATTATGATGTGAAGTCCAGCAATGTCCTGCTAGATGATGAGTATGAAGCGCGAATATCAGATTACTCACTTGCCAAGCTCCTACCCAAGCTCGACACGTATGTGATGAGCAGCAAGATGCAGAGTGCACTTGGGTACATGGCTCCTGAGTTCGCTTGCCAGAGTCTCAAGATTACGGAGAAATGTGATGTGTACGGTTTCGGGGTCCTGCTGCTGGAGCTCGTCACTGGCAGAAGGCCGGTGGAGTACATGGAGGATGATGTGGTGATTCTGTGTGATTTTGTCCGTGCTCTGCTGGACGAAGGGCGGGCACTGAGCTGTGTCGACTCTAAACTACTGAGCTTCCCCGAGGATGAGGTTCTTCCGATCATCAAGCTAGGATTAATCTGCACGTCGCAGGTTCCTTCCAACAGGCCTTCGATGGCAGAGGTTGTTCAGATTTTGGAGCTGATCAGGCCACTAGTGGAAAGCAGAGGATCATGATTAGTATGCCCAGCTTCGTCCAAACTCCTCTGAGCACGTCCGTAGTAGTACCACGAGCATCTTTCAGCTCCGTCGACCTAGAGGTATATATTTTGTGCAGCTTAGGTGATCACCTTGCGAGGTCTAAATTTAATTCGGTGCTTGGGCTTTGAAATGAGCAACTGGTTTTCTAGCTCCGCCAGTTCATTGATTCCACAGAGAAATAGAGCTTTGTTTGAACTTTCTCTTTCAAAGCACATGCACCTCTGATCCGATCAAAGCCACTATATGTGGTTCACAAGATACACAATACAGCAGACCATATGTCACAGTTGCTGTGTGTACCAAAAGATTCGAAGGGTGTTCATCGTGTTGTCACCCTTGAAACTGTAAACTTTTGTGTATTTTCCTTATGAGTCCACCGATTTTCGTCTAAATTGTCCACTACAAACTCATGTGATTGCTGCTCACGATTTCTTGGTAGCCACACTCTGTCGGCATGAGGTGTATACGACTTCCATACGAGTCAGGTCCTTGGTCTTGGAACATTCTGCAGCGAAAATACTTTTCAATTTATAGCTTTTTCGATGTGCGTGATCGACCGCGTGACCATCAAATCTCGTTGGTAACCAACTTGTTACGAGTTCAGACTCCATCACACATGCGTCAATTAGGAAATATGTTGTCAGATGCAGATTCCAAGCTTTCCAGTAAGTATCTCAACAATTAGAACTGAGTGGGTTCTGCCCACCAACAGTCGCACTTCTGCGCTATCATGGAAAGCTGATATACAGTCCAGATACCACTTTGGACCTGTGCGACCACTCTTCGGTGGTTGGGTTTGGGGTTCAGTGTAGTTAGGTGGAAAGAGAACCTTGACCGAATGTCGCACCTCTTGATCTGATCACAGTTAACGTAGTTGATTTAAGAGATTCTTTTATATAGGGTGGTTGTAATCAATTTTCATAACGATATCGTTCCGTCTGATACGGAGGTTTCAACTTCGAGTATGGACTCAACCATCTATCAGAGCACCTGGTGAAAGAAGGTGAGAATGAGACCCTCCAAACTCCGGAGCTAGATGGCTAGCTAGTCAGTGATTCAGTGAAGTGAAGGAGGACACTGTATTCTGTGTGCAAGGGGAGAGAGGGTTCTGGTTGTTGGGACTTTTTTACGCGTTCATCGCTTGCATGACCTGCTGCAAGTGGGCCATCCATCGCCCTGCCTATCATGCAGTGTTTTCGAAACTGCACGGCCTGCTACTTTTAATGGCAGGCAGGCGGGCAGGCTTTTGCACCCTTTTGTCAGGCCGCCTGCCGCTACCACTACCACCACCATCACCACCACCACCACCGCAGGCGTGTTCCAAACCTCTAGATCCTGCCACTCTTGCTTCCTCTCCCGAGATTCTGCAAGGGAGTCGTGCCGCCTCGAGCCCTCGAGTGGTGGGTTGCGGTTACAGACGTCGCAAGGTAGGAGAAGGAGATTCAGTGCACAATCTCGCTTTTCTCTCTCGCAAGGATCTGCTGTAAAGGTACAAACAACAAACCAGCTCGAGGGGTGGAAAGCCGAACTCCCCGACCGAAGGTAGATGAGCGAAACCCAGCCCGACCCACAATCGCAATCACAATCACAATGTCAGAGGCGAAGGGGGAACCAAAGGAAGGGATTAGCACCAGAACCGACTTTCCCGGACTCCGTGCTGCACTCTGGGACTGGTACCTCTGGGAAACTCTGCCCGGTTCCCGGTCCCGGTACCCGGTACCCAAACAAGCGGCGTGTGATCCGGAGTGCCCGTGGATGGGCACCTCCCGGACACTCTGTGGATCAGTGCCATCGTAGGGTGACCGGCAGGACCGTCCTTCGCTCTCCCTGGAGACGGCATGGATAGACAGATAGATGGATGGAGGGAGGGAGGGATGGACGGACGGACGTAGAGCTCGCCGCCGCCGCCACCACCACTACCGTGACGGACGGTTGGCAAGTTCATCGTGTCCGGCTCGATTACAGAGGCATGCAACGCAGCGCTCGATTTGGCTCGATCGCTACAGAGACGCGCAACAAGACTCTGAGCGAGAGCCGAATTCCTTCGATCCTTCGTTCGTTCCTTCCCTCGTTCCTTCCTTCCGTCCCTTCCTGTGCAGTCTCGAGTTACATCATTGAGCGGAACAGCTGTCGACGAGTCTCCTCGATCAGGTCCGCCGCGGTGGTGGACATGGCATCGTCGTGCCAGCATTTAAGGTGCTCTTTCGAGGTGCCTCTGCATTCAAAGGTCGTTGGTTCGCACTAAAGCCGCGAAAGCTGTGTAAGCCGGCCGCCATCGCCAAATCCTTTGGCATTCCGTCAATTCCCGTGTGGCCTTATCATTCTCCTTCCCAGATCCACCTAACTCTCTACCGCAGCAAATAAATGTCGCCATGAGTGAGGCCATGTTTTAGCTCGAAGCTCGACCGTGTGGGTAAACTATGTAGAACTAGTGCGTGGGTTTACACTTCAGACACAAGGCGGGGGCTCAGTCCCTTGAAACACATAAATTCACAATTGCCAGCATCGAAATAGTTCATATATATTGTACCAGTGCGTTACGCATCATATTATTGTGTCTGCCATCCTTGGAGGTGTCATCTTTTGAACTCGACGCTTGCTCTCTCCCATGGATGCACGAAATCTAGTTTTCACTGACAACTGACACGATGTGTATGGAGTCATGAGATGAGGTGGCAGTCATGATTTCTTCCCCTGGTCACTCGCTTTGGATATCCATCGCGGGGTTTTCGATTGATTTGTGGCTAACCATCATTGCAACACATTTAGTTCAGGAAATTTAATAAGTGAATTAATATTATCCCGCGCATAGGACTTACCTTGGTTTGTCATGATTTTTCATATCATTGGGGTGTGCTTTGACAAAGTCAGGGTCTCTATTCACCCCAACCGGTATTTTCCATGGTTTCGCATCTAAAATATGGCTATGTACTGTCATCATGTATTTTCTTTCCAAGACATCTTTCTTTCCCAAGGTGATTTCCTCCTTCACAATTGAAAATTCTATTGGGAAAAAAAACATATGTGAAATCAATGTCAAAGCAGCAAATAAAGTATCATCATGGGTACTTAAGTGTCATACTGCAAGAATGATTAATTCCACACGTATAAGGTCTTATCATGAGGTAAAGGTATATTTTTGTATCAAACGTTTATGTATGAACATGTATAAAGTTATACATAAAATCATATTCAAATTATATATATTTTTATAAAATATATATCTTTTATCATATATCTAACATAAATGAAATATTCTTAGATGTTAATATTATATATTAACGTATAGATGTTAATATAAGTTTTCAAATTATACATGAAAGCTAGATTTTGCAATTTAATCAAATGAAATATTGAGAAATTATGAAATTTGAACCTTGGAATAAGTAGTAAGATTATACTATACTCAAGAAATTTTTTTGTGTTCTTTTATAAATCTTTAACACTTAGAAATTTTCTCATTTTTTTTCCTTGTAGAAATATTTTTTTCTTTAAAAATTTAAGTGATGTAGTGATAAATTTATCATATTTATAGAAATTATTTTATTTCATATCTCAGTCAAATTTTTTTCAGCTTTTCATTTTTTTCATTTTTTCATCTTACCATTTAAAGAAAAAATTATTCTTCTTTTTAAACATAATTACCAAATTGGTAGTTTTGAATATGTGCTAATTATGGATAATATCTAAACAAGTTAGAATATAAAATTGCATATATGTTTACACTTGATGATGAAAGCATTAGGTAAACCAAGCATATTAAATTTTGGCAAATGCTTAGTTTGCCAGAATTAAGATATTTTTGGTAAATTTATTTCTTTTATTCTGTCATTTCTGGCATTAAAATTGGCATTTCATTTTTTTTGTCTTTTGATCTAGAAATGATTATTTTTAGTGTTTTGAATTGCTTTGCATGCATGATATCTGCCAAGGAAAGTCTTGTATGGTTCATGCAAGAGTCATCTTTTTCACATTTGATGATCGCCGATCATCAAATGTAAAAACACAAGAAAAATGTAAAAACACAAGAAATTACTAGTGTAACTCCTAGTGTTACAGCAGATCGCTGACGTGGCAGCTATGACTAGTGCACGCTAAAGTAACTATAATTTGATCTTGAGTAACTTTTACTTTAGGTCTAACTAACTAAAGATAGTTACACAATGATATCAAAAGTAGATGAAAAAGAAAAATGAAATGTAAACAAGCTGTATTTTTTTACTTTATCTCTTAGTGTGCAACTTGCTTTCCACTGTTAAGTTTGCAAGATCAAGAATTTTGTCATATATTTGTAACTTCTTGTCAACTGAAAAACACACTTAGGTTTGCGATTGACTTTTAATCAGCAAATTCAATTGCATGCATTCACATGTCGTTTCAAAAGCAGACATTTTTACCTTCATTTTCTTCTTCTCAACCAACTCTTAGAATTTTAACTAGATTAATTTTGGCAAATTGGCCACATTAATTTTGTCAATTCTAGCGTCCAAAAATAAAACTCCAAATTTTAGAAGACATTGGATAAAATCTACTTTGCATAAATGCGTAACTGAGTCCACAAACAAAACTATATATGTAACAGCAGAAAAAACAATAAAGAAACCTATTTGTTAGAACATGGGATCTAATTTCACGGTTGTCAAATCCTTCATCTTGAGGTTATTATGATGTAATTAAAAGATGAAATTGTAATTATTGTGATAATCAAAATGGGTTACATTGTGCTGCAAATCAAATGATGTATAACAGAGTGAAACATATTAACATTAGATATTACTCTATAAGAGATGTTTTACGTGATAAAAGTATCAAACTAATCAAGATTGACGTTAAACTCAATCTAGTTCATGTTTTAATCAATATCATTCTTTCTAAGAGGCTTTTAGTCATTGTGCTACTATGAAGGTTTTGCATAAGAAGCACAAGTAAAGTTTACTATCACCTTTTGATATCTACTTATAATTTTACTTTATTATATTTTGGTTATGTTTTGGTATTAGTTAATTTTGGTGTAAAAAGTGTCATGTTTAGATTTCTATTAATATTTTTTGCACAAAAATTATATAGATTATGGAGATTATTGTTGTCATGACATGAGTTTAGAAAAAGATTATTCGTAGTATTTGAAATTTTGAATTAAGCTCAAGTCACAATATTTAAATGAATCTAGTATTAAGCTTATCCTAGTTATGATTGGATCTAAATTTTTTGCTATGATGTATATGTAGTATAGTGAGAGAAAACTCGCCTTAAATGTTTTGAAGTTATTTTTGTTAAAACTTTATTTCTATGTACACAATTAGAGGGAGTCGCAATCAAATATTTTTTGTTTGTCGTAATTGTGCATTTTTGTGTTTCTTTTAACATTGCACTTATTGACTTTTTGTTTCAGATTTTGACTTGCAAAAATGAATTGAAATGTGCTAAGATTGACTAATTGCTATCAACATAGATTGTAACAAATTTCTTCTATGAAAACAACAAAAGAATATGATGCACGCAAATTCAAAATGAAAAATACATGATTCACTTCTACCTTCTATGAAAAATCTAAAATAATGTTCGAATAGAGCTATGTCTTGTACTTCTAAGTATTTTGAAGTAAATAGCCTAAATACGAGATATTCAAATTCTAAACCTACTTAAAATTAAATGTAAAATGTTGTATTTTGGAATGTCAACGAGTGTTTGTGTTGAATTATGACTAGATGAAATGTGTGAAAATTTTAATTTACATAAGTTCATGTAGATAAAATTTCATCAATGACCTATGAAAAAAACATCAAGATTAACTTGACTAAGATTCAACTTGGAGGTAATATATTTTTTGCAACATTGTGTAACTAAGTCTACAACTGAAGGTGAATATGTAGTGGCAAGAAATCATGTTGCCTGTAAAAATGTGTTGTGTGTTTCTCTTTAAGAGAAAAATTCAAAGTACAATACTTGCAAGTTGTAATTTCTCACAATGAGAAAATCTTTGAGTGCTAGATTGTTGAAAAGTGGAGTAAAGTTAAAAATTTACTATGTATACAAGAATGATATATCGATAATATCTAGACTTCGGCTTTTTCTACTTGTAGAGCATAGCCAGATCATACTACTTAGGCTTCATAGATGTGATGTTTGATGTACACTTCCCATACTGTTTGCTCCATAAGTTCCATTGAACAGAAAAGCAGAATTTGATCTTTAGAAATGAGCATTTGTAAAGCTTCGTTCTGAACTGCGAAGTTGGTGGTTTGCAATCTCTTCAATATTATGGACTCTCGAGTGGCAGACTGTGTTTGATCAAGCATTATGGCGTTCTTGCTGTTGGGATGGAATACTACATCAGGCAAACAAAATGTCGATAAGACAAATCTCTGGCAGGACAAAACAACTTACCGACTCGCTTCTGATGACATGTACAATATTTGTTTTAACGTTATCATGGACGGAATTGGCGTAGATGATCTCCCTCGCCTGTCAAGTGCCGATGTTCTCAGTGTACACATGTTCTAGTTTCTGCTTCAGTTCTTCGATCGATCGGTCCGTCGATGGCGCCGAAATGCGGAGTTTGCGTCGAGGCGGAATCGAAGTACAAGTGTCCGAATTGCCTTACCCCCTAGTAAGATTATCCCGGAGATTGTCCCTACGCTTTGCGCATGCATTCTTAATCGTTTCATCAATTTTCTCTCTCTTGTATGGAATGAATTTTAAGGTCGTCAGTCTGTCTTGTACCATTGGCGATGGTTTGATTAGATGAGGGGAGATGCAGTGTTGCAGCAGTTCAATGCAGGGTTTATGCTCACTACGAGGTTTTAGGTCACAGATTGTAAAATTTATAGGCTTGAGAGTCTGTTGCAAGTATCTGATGGCCATTTTAGGGCTTCATGTATCTTGTTGTATTAGCTTGAGATGAAGGCAGAGAAGAATGTTAGAAAAAGTGCAGCTTTCCGGACGTTAGTAGCGAATTTGTATTTGACTGACAAAGATTTACAGACTGTTTTAGTTCCTTTGTGTGGATTCGAACTCGGAGCTAATTGAAATTTCTCTTCTGATGCAGCTGTTCGTTGGCATGCTACAAGACTCACAAAGGTTGGCTGGATCCTGATCGCGGCGGCTGCGAGAATTTATGTTCAAGAATTATTGGATCTATAGAGCTTGACTTGTGATGTGAAACTTAAGCTGAGGAGAATCCGGTGTTTGTTCTTTGTTTCTTGCTGATGCAGCTACAACTAACTCATTTGGAGATTGCTCTTGCAGTCACTCCGTGCACTAAGCCGCCAGATCCTTCTGCCGCGTCGCAGAATGAGGGTAAGTTTCACCTTTGGCTCCTGCAGAAGCGAATTGTCCCAGTTCAAAGCTCACTGTGAAGTACTGCAGTGAACAGTCGTAGACAGAAATTTAAAATCCAGCTGTCGTACTTGGAAACCTCATTTTCGATAACGTCAGAGGAAATCTGGTCTTTATACAATGTCTTGTGTATAGGTCACATCCTGAGAAGGTGTGGCGGGCTCACGAATTTTTTCTAAACTTCACGTGTGACCTCATTGGTCCGATTCTTACAGTTAGGTTGTGCCTACCTGTCTGTATCACCGGGTAGGGTATGTACAATGCCATTGTATCTTGTCCGGACTTCATATTTTACATGAGATTCTGAGGAAAGTAGTCACTGAGGTTGTGCAGATGTTGCCAAACAACCACCTAGATCTTTTGAAGAAAATGAAGATGAATCCGGATGGAGGTTACGCCGAGCTCAGTTAGAGGCCATGGGTGCTAGTCTTTTCCTTGTAATGCACCCACTTCATGATTTTTGCTTTCCAATGGTTACGATCGTAAGAACTTCCGTCTTCTGTGCTGCTCCTCATTTGAACAGCCATCGCTCCCTGCGTGAGGGAGATGTCGGAATCTGGTGAATTCTTGATGCTAACCAGTACTCGAACTGCAGCTGCATCAGATGACATTCGTCGTATGTTAAGAGACGACGAACTACGGAAGCTTATTCAGAAAATAGATTCCTCCATCACTCCCGAGAAGGTAATGTGACTGCATCCTCCTGCTCGTATGACCAGATCTGAATAAAATTGTTCGACTCTCTCACCTAGTCAAGTACGTCATTCGAACTTGTGACTGTAATGGTATGTGAACAGTATCCTCGTATACGTCGGAAATTTGTGAAGGTTGATGACTAGGTACCGGGCTAAAATTTAGTGCTTATACAAAATCTTTGACCTTCAGGATCTGGACAAGGCAATGGAAGGAGCAGCTTTTAAACAATTCACTGACAAGGTAGCATACACTCCCGTTTGGATCTGTTGACGTACATATCTTCATATCCTGTTCTCCAGTGCTTGAATCACAGTGATCACCTGACTCTTTCATTTATAGATAGAATGGAAGTCCTCGAATACTACATAACATCTCTCCCACTCTCTTACAACTTAAAGATATAATTTACACGTTGCGAACACTCAGACACATGGAGGAATTCCTTTGGCTGAGACTTTTTATGTAATGCAGATTCTGGCAGTTGTTAGTTCGGAAGATAAATCTCACGTGACACAGTCTTGAAGATGCCAGATTGAAGGGCTCAAGTTGCACCTAATCATCTCTCCTTCTCCTCTGGACGGCAAGATAGCGCTCCTTCAGTTCCCGCGCTCATTATGCTCTTCAGAGTATAGAGATATCTCCCCGGCCGATTTCTGAGTAGAGATTGCAATGGATATGGAGTTAGAGGTTATGTCGTATCTACGCTTCATCATCTGGTCTGTAAATTTCTTGTAGGAAAGGTCTGTCGTTGCTGTATAACGAGAAGACCTGGAATTTTGTAGTTTTGACTGGTTCAAAGGTACTCCCTTTTCAGTGGAGCGAGCAAACAGAGAAGTTTGTCACAGATACATCTAGTTTTAGTAGAAGTTAGTATCGGGTTGTGCCTTTACCACCTTGCACAACCTTGAACCTGGTCGGCTATTCCAGCTTAAGCTTCAAAGCCGGAGTTGAACTGATTAGTGTACCTTTTACTTTTCAAATGTTTCGAAGGTTTACGGAATTCTTCAGATATTTTGCCCTAAGACATGTTTTTTTTTGAGAACGGGTGTTTGCCTTAGTATGTGGAATGACGTACGAGAAAGTGTTGGCGGCTGCAAATGATGCGAATCCCCATACAATACCTTGGTGCTTGGCTCAGTGTGGATGACTACTGGGACCTTTATACCTAGAGTTGCGGATGTAGTCAAGATTAGTTGAAGATTACCAAGATTAGTTGAGGAGATGGCTCTTTCTCACGGAGTCATGGTGAGTGTCAATTTAGTACCGAAGGGGGTTGGGCTGGTTAGGCTGCAAAAGCATAGTGCCCTTCCAGTGACTTCAACGTTTCTCGGTAACTTGTGGAGTGTTGCCTGCAGACCAAGTCATAAATGCACAAAATAGCTCTTTGCAGATTCAGATGCAGGCCTGCTTGTGTCGTTTCAAGGATGTTTGACTTGTTCGCACATCAAGAGAACGACGACTTGTTCTAACTAGTGTTTGGGCTGGGCGAGTGGTGCATCCGTGTTGATTTTTTACTGTGGGATGTTACCCACATCGTCCAAGTCCTAGTGATAGTACAGATGTAAACACGATCCGAGCAACATTTCACAGGCAAAAATTACAATTTCCCTTCAAGAGATAAAGACTGTGGTTACTGGATATTGTTTTGGACATCATTATGTGAGAGACATGAAGCCGACTGGGTAACTTCTCATCAAGACTGCCAATGCTGACTATTGCAGTAAATGCCCTACGTGTCGCAGTTTTTTGTGGGTCATACAGGATGTTCTGTAGCTCTGTACAGGCATGGTCTGGTCAGTATGTTTAAGGGTTGTAAAGTATGAAGGCATCTCCACGGTTCTTGAATGCCGGAGTCCGATCGGATGCGCTACATTGTTGAAGGATGGTATCTAGGGGAAATGAGTAGGGTGGTGCAATAAATACACCAAAGCACTTCACAAAGGCCAACATAGCGAATCTATCTCCTACCACTCTCAGTATTTTCTTGTATCGATTTCGAAGACAGTAGACGGTAGAGTTTGGGCATTCATTCAGGGAAGTGTCCACACCCACTTCGTGTGTCACTGAGGTCTTTTTTTACGACAGGAAATGGTGGGGACAGCCAAAAAAAAATTTAACCTTTGAAAATCTGGTGCACCATCATAGCATAAAGTCGGTGTGCCGTAACGTAGATTTGTGAACTTGTAAAACACGTAAGAGGCACAGGCAGGAGTAATGCCAGCACTGTAGGTTAGCTGGCTTGAAGGTCTTGAGGTCATTGCCAGCCCGGGCTAAGAAGTCTTCATTCACTGAAATTTTCATAACCAAAACACTTGGAAACACTGGACGTTCATGGACTTGCCACGGAGGAGACAAGCATAATTCTCGGCTGGGTCAGCTGCATGGTTTCTGGCAACCAGATTGCCCTTGGGTACATTCATGAAAAGAGGGCCTTTTGAGTCTTCCAGAATACGAGCAATCAATGATCTATCATAAACCGAACAAGGAGAAGACAAGACACCAGGAAGAGAACAGGCAATGGAGGATCCAGTCAGACACTGGACATGGAGTCGGCATATCATTAACTGCAGGCCTTACGTGAACAGAGCGTTGCGCCTCGACCGAGTATTTATTAGTACTTATTAGTACCAAAGCGTCTCGACCATACCGCATGTTCAATTATGCAAAACAACAGGGAAGTGGGAAGCGACTGAATCAATCTTACAAGGACTGACGAGGCCCTGCATTGATGCAAGTCTTTCACCGATTTTAAACTTATGTTGTTTCTCAAAATTGGTTTTATAGTGCCTCTCTTCTCATAGAATGTTGAGTAAAATAAGTGATCCAATAAGTAAAATTTGATATGTGTGTGAGAGAAAGCTTGCCAACGAGGTGGCAAGGTTTTTTTTTCCAGATTTGTGTGTAGTCTATTTTAGAAAAATTGTTTTAATGTTTTTACACATACATTTAAAGCAATCATTTCAAATGATCTGACATCAAATGCTTATGTTGTTTGTATCTAGTTAAGATATTAAACTTCTCATTATGATATCATCCGGGCTCCTACTCTTCACTTTCTTTGGGTATCATACTTTGACGGCTTCATTCTTTATATATTTTGCTGTATGTTGGTTAGAATTTTTTTGTTATTATTAACCAACACTAGATTTTGAATTAACTTTCCTTGACAAAAATTACATCTTAGACAATTGCTTGACACTAAGGGATGATATGTAAACTGTTATTTGGACAAAGAGTAAAAAAATGCAATTCCCTTTTTACACATAAGCAATAAGATATATATCACAATTCAACAGTAAGATGCATTTTCAAGTCAGCTACAATATCTTGACACTCGCTGAACATGCACATGTACATATCATCATGCACGTCACAACTTTCTCCGCACAAATGTCATTTCAGATATATTTAACTCCAAAAGAAGACAAAAAATATGCCAAATATGTACAAAATGCATCTAGATCTCAGTGAAATCCACGTAAGCATGGTAAACTTCTAAGGTTTGATCACATCAGTATGAACTGTATAGGATATTTTGGATAAGTCAAGATTGAATTGAAGCTAAATAAGTTTTAATTATGAGATACAACAAGATAAAATAAGATCACACAAAAAAAATTAATGATGCATATTATCTTGAAACTATAATCTTTAGTCCAACCATATTATATTGGATGATATTCAATGAAATGCATTGATCATAAAGTATATCAAGTATATGATGAGGAAAATTCCAAAATTGATTCATTTCATCTATGAATGTCTAGTCCATATGATTTACCTAAATATTTTTTCAACAGTTGATGTTTTGGGGGTTTTTTTTCTCGGAGTGGATGATTATTTGCACATCTTTTGTACTTGTTGTCAAAACTCACTAACGAAAATTTCAATAGTATATGATTATGGGTCATAACCTCTTAAGATTCAAAAATTTCTCAATTATGCAAACATTGTACTAACTAATATACAATAAGATTTATGATGATCTTCATGGTACCACTTGTTTATAATGGTTATGTGTAAGCAATCTAAATGAGAATAAATCGTAAAACGTGTTGAAAGTGAAGAACTTACCTCACTTGTAAGATGTTAAAATGAAATTAATCATCTCATCTATGTTTTATGAATCTCATCAAACCTCATCCATCACTGCTTGTTTCTTCATGGCTCATATTTCTAAGTTTTGTGGAGTTTTTAGTACTATGATGATATTATGGATACTAAAAGTTTTATATCATATCATGTTTCATTATCCATCAGTTTGAGTTGTTGTCAACTTTAAGAAGTTAAGGTTTGTTTGTCTTGAATTACTATGTTTCATGAGTTTTTCTAGTACTTGAGTTCAGATGGTTGGCATGTGCTCTTCACTTTACAAATGTGATCAGAGGCAAAGGGAATGAGAAATTTTATCGATTGGGTTTGGTTAGCATCAAACCCCTCGCATGTCTTAAGAGGTAAATAGATTGTTACATATTTTGTTAGTTTTTATGATACTTCCTATTATTCCTGATATTGATAGGTTAAATTACATTATAACCAGATTTTCAGCACCTTTAACTACGAATGGCCACGGACACAACATGTCTCTCAAGTTGCTAAATAGGGTGCAAACAGAGCGTATCAATATCAGTTCCTGGTCCATAAACCGAACAGAAGGAAGAAAAGCCATTATGATGTCAACAAAGCACATACAAACGATTCCAGTATTTACACTGCACTCCCGGCCAAGCATGTATAAGATTAGATGCAGACACATCTGCTAGGAATATGCTATCTGAACATGTTGAAAGTCTCGTTTTAACAATAACTTATCTGAGCGGATTTAAACCGAGAGTGAAATTTTTGTAGTTTGCCTCTTGCACGAACTGTTCTTTGTAGCCCTTAGTTCTGTGCATCTTCTTTACCCGCATTTTGATGATGTTCAAGTCTGATATTCTGAATCCCGCTGCAACAATTGACGAACGTGAATTCTAGATTATTTAAATTAGGAGTATATTATACATAAGTAACTGCTAATTTAAACTTCGGGTTAGAGTAAGGTTTAACGACTTTGAAATAATGTTTTTGAGTTAGGGAAAGAAACTCAAATATGAGCCTTGAATTCTTTATATATATTGCTAGGGTGATGGTCAAAGTATTCATCTATCAAGGGGTTAGTTACTCAGAGTTTTCACGACAGTTGGACTTTAGACTTGGTCTCAAATCAAAAGGAAATGTTACCTAGAGGTCCAGTTTACCGGGATTGTATTACCAAACTATGGTTACACCAACGGAATTATCAGTTATTTGTATATCCAAAATTCATAATCGTCAATTGTTGAAATGGAGTTAAGAAAATCAAAATAATTTGGCCTTCATGACTATGCACCCACACTTTCCATTATCATGATTATATTAACCCACATTTTGACGATCTACGATATAATGCGCACAACAGCAAATCAAAACTGGTGCTTCAAAAACTCATAACAAGGTAGTCGATGAAGCTGACCTGGAGGAAAAAGACAAGAAATTTGATTGCAGTAAGTGATTCACTTATCCATATGGAAGGCCAATCTGAAATTCTCATGTTGATATACCCCAAAACTCAGTCACCTGCCTGCACACAAAAGAAGACAGAACTGAAGAAGAGTGAGAGTTGGATATATGACAAGCAATACCAATAAACGTTGGGGAAACAATTTTCTCACAATGTGCTATGAGCCAAAGGTGCTGCTGATCAGGCCTCGGTTCCGATTCCAGTGCAACGGACTTTGTTGTGCGGCCAGCGAGGTGAACTGCGTCTTGTCTCGTGCGTCTCTGCTTGAACATACATGTATAGTATGTTGATTTAGTGCATCAGCCTCTACTACTTAGAGGCTGATGCACTAAATGCTCTAAGTAGTAGGGTAGCTTGTTTATTTTTTAGCTTGTTTTAGCATAGCCTAAATAGTAGGGTAGCGTTTATTTTTTGGTTGTTGTTTGAGTATCGAAGGTACATCACTGTGGACCTCTAGTTTGCTCTTCACTTTTATTAGTAAGTGCATTGATAATATTTATATGAGATTCTTTCCATAGCTCATCATCTCTTGTATTACTTTTCATTGTGGGTATTAGAACGAGGCTATTTCTGGGTTTAAGCGTTAGAGGTTAATGTGCGAGCTCAGCTCCACACATTTACAGTTTGTTTTCTTGGTCGTTAGAATCTGTGAGCATTGCTCTAGTGTTAGCACTAGTCAAAGCTTTTTGCATCTAGTTGTGAAGCGTAGCTCCAACTTTCTTTTCTTTCTTTTTATTTTATAGTTACAGATGCCCTGGCTAATGTCAGCATTCGATACTTCATTCCTAGACTCCAGCAAGCTTGTGTGGTCTATCAACCATCACAACTGGAAGATTCGTATGACTAGTCATTTGAAGAAGGAGCGTGTGTGGGATGTAGTCGCTACTTTGGGTTCATCATTGCTTCAACTATCTTCACTCACAATACGTCAATCAACGGATGATACATCATTTGCAAATGTTGTTGTGG